GATTGGGGCATGACTCTTTTAGGCTTTGTCAGATTTTTTAATAAAATTCTCATAGATGTGTATAAGAGACAGACAGTGGTCACCCCCTCTCTTTCTACACCTCCGTGATCAGAAGTGGTAATCTGAGGTCAGAGCACAGAGCCCCAATATTTTAAGGTCAGGGTCTTTTTTGCCCACCCTCCCTGTGGTAGCTATTTGCAAGCTGCTCCAGAAACATATGCATGATTGCCTGCCATGGTTTTAGGGGTGGGAGGTGGTGGCTACCACTGTGCTAAGGGCTGAAATTGGCCAAAATTAATCATAATTTATCATCCAAGGCTTCCCCTGGATGTTGCAAGCCTTCATGACTCCTAGTTCCAAAATGGTTACATGATTCATTCTGCCAGTGCAATTGTTACCTAGCCTGGGAGTCAGATTCCTGGGGTTGACTAAGCTGCCATCTTCCCAGAATCCTCTCTCATTTTTTAACCTTGAATCCACTGGAGACTTTTTTTTTTTAAAAATAAACATTTAAAAAGATAATATAGTCTTCGTTTTATTGTGTTGGCCATTTGAAGCACCCTTGAATAAGCATGAATCTTTATGTTTAAAATGAGACTTCTTCCTTTTGTTATTTTGAAATTAAGAAATTAGTTATTTATTCAAAACAAATATAAGATCTTAAACAGTTATATTTTTATATAAGAAATCAAGTCTTTTGGTGAATTTAAATGATTTCTAAGGTGAGAATTTTGGTTTCTTGCCTTTTTCTTTATTTCAGTGCTTTTCCTTTTTTTTTTTTTTTTTTCCTACTTCTTACTCTCATGTCTTTGCGCTGGTGCAGTGATTTTAAGAGCACCGATTCCTGGCACATACTGGTAAAGTCTTTAAACTCAGGATATTCAAGGTAAATTGTTAATAGTACCACATTTTGTTGACTCTACAATGCTTATGTTTGTAAGGTACACTGTTATTTTATATACCATTAAGATAGACGAAAATACTGCCAATCATCATTAAAAGATGCATTCCAGTATCATAAATGTTAATATAGGTAAAGGATGTACTGGCTAAGTGCATTGACTCATGCCAGTAATCCCAGTGCTTTGGGAGGCCAAGGCAGGAGTATTGCTTTGAGGCCAGGAGTTCAAGACCAGTCTGGGAAACATAACAAGGCTCCATCTCTACAAGAAGTATTTAAAAATTAGCCAGATGTGGTGGTGTGCACCTGTAGTCCCAGCCACTTCGGAGCAGAGGTGGGAAGATCTCTTGAGCCAGGAATTAAAGGCTGCAGTGAGCTAGGACCTCATTCACTGCTGCACTCCAGCCTAGGCAACAGAACAAGACCCTGTCTCTAAAAAAACAAAACAAAACAAAACAAAACAAAAAAAACAAAAAAAGAGAAAAGGGTGTACTTTAGAATCTTTGAAATATAATACATGTATGGAAAGTATGCTCTCATCATTCCACCATTTTGAGCATTTTTCATATTCAGAAGCCAATCAAATTTGATTTTCACCTTGTTTTCATTAGTTCCCTCTTACATTGGTTAAGTCCAGTAAACATCTTTAGTGCCTAATATATAGTAGCTATTCTTGTAACAGTAGCCAACATTTATATAGATTTTACCATATGGTAGGCACTATTCTGAGTGCTTTATGTATTTCAAGTAACTAAATTTTATAATATCCTTATGAGGTGAGTACTGTTATTATCCCCATTTTAGCAAGGAGGAAACTGAGGAACAGAGAAGTGAAGTGACTTGGCCAAGGTCATACAGCTAGTTGGTGGTAGAGCTGGGGTTTGAATGTAGATCCTCTGACTGTAGAGACCATGCTGTTAGCAGTATTCCTAAGGACATAAAAATGAATAAAATATTGACCTTTCCCTCACATATCTTACCAGGCAGTATTTGAAGGTGTGTTGATAGATTTACATGAAATTATTAAGTTATCCTTCTGATAATTAATTTTTCTTTGTATTTTTAGGACATTCAGTCAGAAGAAGGCTGCTATTGAAAGAGAGTATGCACAGGTAAGCTTGGAATTGGAGGTCCCATTCTAGGTATACTTATTTTCCGTGGCTTAAGGACAGAAATGGTTGTTGGAGACAAGCCATAGTATCCCTATGCCTTCCTTTTCTTGTTATTTCTTTCTTTCTTTTTTTTTTTTTTTTTCTGAGATGGAGTCTCGCTCTGTCGCCAGGCTAGAGTGCAGTGGCGCGATCTTGGCTCACTGCAACCTCCACCTCGCAGGTTCAAGCAATTCTCCTGCCTCGGCCTCCTGAGTAGCTGGGACTACAGGCATGTGCCACCACGCCCAGCTAATTTTTGTATTTTTAGTAGAGACAGGGTTTCACCATGTTGGCCAGAACAGTCTCAATCTCTTGGCCTCGTGATC